GCCTCCTTCGCCACCGAGTGGATTGCCGCCAGCCCCGACTTCTCCGGGTTGCTCAGGATGACCGACCACAAGGCCGTGGAGACATCCCCCAGGCCGTTCGAGGAGCTGAAGCGCATGCGGGGGGTGCTCGCGTCGCCCAGGACCAGCCGCTCATCCCTGGGAGGCTCCGTTGGCTCCACCCTCTTGGATCCACTGATTGTACAGCTGCTCCGGGGGCTCGTCCATCACCAGCTGCAAGCAGGTGGCCTTGCTCTGATGCTTGGCAAGACCAAGCCACACTCCACGGAGGCCCAAAACACATGCTTCGCCTCCTTGGGGAAGTGCTTGTTGATGTACTTTCGGCCCGCAACCGCCGTGACCGTGGCCGTGGTGATTGGCGGGCCCTGGTCTGGGGTGCGGAGCGTGGTGTCTGCCCCCCCCAGGACCTTGGCCTTTGGGTCCGCCTCCTTGGCCGCTCCCCCCCCGGGGCCAACGGCACCCAAGGGGGGGGAGCAACCCAGCTGTCGGATGAGGTCCTGGGAGTAGCCCAACCTGTCGCACAAGGCCCCCGCCGCCTCCTGCAGGACCTGCTCGACCCAGTCGTGGACCACATTGCAGCGCCAATTGACCTTCACCTCCACCATCGAAGACTTGCTCAGGCCCGCCACCAACTTGGTGTAGACCGAGTCGAAGGCCTTCAGCGAGGCCAGCGGGAAGGTGATCCGTTCGTCGCAAACTGCCCTGAACCGCAGCGCCTCCTTACTGTCATGGATGGGGGCCACCGGCATCTCCATCACGGGCAACGGGCAGTTCACGATGAAATTCTTTGCCGCCAAGAATGTCCCCATCTCCTTGAAGATGTAACTCCACTCCTCCTTGCTGCGCGGCTTGGGGATGCCCAGGCTCTCCAGGAAGGGCACCGCCTCCTTCCTCATCTGGATAATGTTGCCCATCCACTTGTCCGAGGTCGAGCCCTCCGCATTGCGGCCCCGGCGTTGCGTCTTCACAATCAACGGGAAGGTGGTCCAGGCCGAGTAGATATACTTAAATGTGAACCTGTGGGCGTACACTCCCGTCAGGCTCGGCAGGTCCCACGTTCTCGTCTGTCTGGTCCAAAACACCCCATCACCCTTCGCCCAGAAGATACCAACCACCTGCTCCGGTGCCGGGCGCTCGCCCCGGTTCACCTGAGCTCGGATCTCCAAGGCCGTGTAGATGACTGGGTCGATGTGGTCCTGCTCGCACGTGAATGGGTGAGTCCTGCGCTCAAGGGCCAGGAGCTCCTCCGGCGCGAGCTTAAACTGCTGGTCAGCGCCCCGGGGGGATCTCACCGCTTGCGTGCTTCTTCCAAACCCCCCCAAACATCCGGAGCTCTCCCTGGTGCCGCTTCATTGCCCAGAGGATAAGGGACAGCTTGCCATCCTCAGAGTCCAGGTCTTGCTGGGACATGCGGTGCCTCCAGCTCGGGCATCTCCTCCAGCAGTGCCTCCTGGTGCCACGACGGGTTCTGCGACGCTCTGAGCATCTTGATGTAGGGGACATACTTCTCCTTGATGTCCCCCACCGGGGGATGTCGTCGGGGTCATCCAGGTTCAGGGGGCAGAATAGGCCCCTCTCCAGGGCCTTCCTGAGATCATCCGGCCACGCCGACACTTCCAAGGGCTTGAGAGTGTGGTTGAGCATCCATTGGTGTCCTGGGTTCGCTTGTTTGCCGCCTGAGCCTCCTGAATGGAGCCCATCGCCTCAGCCAATGCCTGGCTGGCGTCAACGCCCTTCCCCTCCAAGTAC